AGTCCAACCTTAAAAACAACTACATATAAATTGGTGGAATTTACAATCGGCCAAAAATGTACATCCTCTTAAAATTTGATTAATGTGATAGTATTTTGTAGTAATTATCGTATTCTTTTAGAAAATTAATAAAATAATGTGTAAACAAGAAGTGTAATTCAATTATTTAAATATTCAAATATTATCCTACAATCATTATATTTTATTTATGTTATAAAATATAGATAGTATTAAATAGTTTTGTTATCAAATTGTTGAGTGTATTACTTAATTACAATCCTATGCAATATTTGGATTACCTCACTGCCTAAAATATAATATTTAAATATACTGATAACCATTCGTTTTGTTTATTTTAATTGGTTTATAGTTAGTAGTTGCATAAAATTTATTTTTGGCAGAATTATTTTTTTCATCCATATGCCGTAATAAGACATACTTTTGTGTCAATATTTAAAGACACCATAATTCATATTATGATTTAACTATAAGAAGGGTTTTCACGTTGAAATATATTTTTCAACTAGATACAAGTATAATAAGTTGTAAGTTTTAAATTGAAATTGATAAGTTTAACGTATTTAACTTTGATCCCAAAATGAACAAACTTATTTTGGGTCATTTAAATTCCCAATAAAGAAATACATATGAATAATTTTTAATCATAGTTTTCTACTTCAGTAGATGGCCACTATCCACAGTTTTAAATGCAGAAACTGGAACTTTGAAAATTGGTACTGGTTCCGGTTCTAGTTCTTATACAATTGTAAAATAATGATTCCAGCTAATACCGATATTAACTGGTTCTAAAAATTTATATTTTCCAATAATATTACTTATTGTTAACCTATGACCTTCGGTGGTTGTTGATACTCAGCCAAATCGAATATATTATATAAGTAATGAAAAGTAACTATAATATCATCAATTGGTTTCCGCCTGAAATTATTTGTATGAGTGATTACTGTGATTGTGTGAGACTATGAAACAGTCTAGGTATGTAATAAATAAATATTCTGTATATGCTGTAAACACGAATCTCAGAAAACCACTAAGCATAAGACTTCGTAAAAACAAATAAACAGCAATATCTCCTCTGACACAATCCTTCAACTTTAAACCTTCCTCCCCCCTCCTCCACGGAGCTTACATAACTACGAAATTGATACCAGTCTTAGTGCCCATGCAAAAAAAAAAACACCCGAAATAGTCGATCGAAATGTATTTAATGAACTAATTCACACAGAGAACCACAATAATACACAAATCTATACAAATGCATCAAAAACCTCAACTTGCATAATATGTCTGGCAGTTATACATAAAATGTCTACTCAAATATTCCAATTACATTGTCATAGCAACATTTATAAGATTGAATAAATAGCACTTTTAAAAGGAGTCCAAAAGCCGTTAATACAAATTATGACAGAATCGGCATTCGTTTCGACTCACTCAGTGTCTTGTCAAACATAAAATATAATAACCAGATCAATCTTTTAGTCATAAAAATAAAAAAACATAATACATTTATCTAACTCATTAACACTTTCTCTTATGTCACCAGTTGCTATAATCAGGAACGTTGACAAATACAATACTATGGGACTCAGACTGGAGTCAAGTCGCCGATAGTAAATTAAGAGGAATCAAATAAAGTCGAGCTCTAGCCGAAACTCAGCCATTCAAATTGAAAATAAGAGGTTATAATGGACCGACTTAGAACTAGCCACACGAGAGTTACTCATGGATACATAATGAGATGCAGACAGATCCTCCCACATGCCGTTCATGCAATTCCTTAATCACAGTCAAACATGTCATCGTCCACTACCAAATCTTCACGGAGGCTAGAAAAGAATGCGAAATCCCAGACAACCTATATATAATATATAATATTTATAATATATAATCTATATCTATGATCTATGATCTATCTATAAGCTATAGGACCCTGTGCTGGTGCTCAAAAAATAATCACTTTAAAAAAAAAAATTGAAATGGAACAACTTAATTTAGTTTAAATTATATTATTATTATTAGACAGCATTGTAAAAACCCCCTTAATGTACATAACTATATAATCATATTGTAAGCTAATAACATCGATGTTCATGCTGTAACAATAAAAAAAATAAATATTTTTATTCTCGTCTATTGTATTATATTCCGTATTACCGTCAGTGATAGGTAGTACCGACAAAGGGTTCTACATGAGAGTAATACTTATAAAACTACCTACATATAGGATATTAACAACATATTTTTTTAACGAAAATGTTACAATTTTGTCAGTTTGTTACCATCAAATGTGTTGGTTTGATTAATATATATATATCATTTTTTTATTTAAATTTAAATTAAGCTTTAGAAAATTTTTTAAAAGTTGTAAAATTCGACCTTAATTTAAATCAAAACTTTTAAAATTGAAAGTTTATATTTATTTAAGACACACGATGCTTATGAATTTCTTAACCACAAAAATACGTTTGACGGGAATATCGATACCGTTCAATAGAATCGACCAAATTTGATAACTTTTTCTTAATTGATAGAGAAAACATTCTATAAAGTACATCGAACTCCGTTTTTAATTTTTTACAAGTTCATTCAAAAATGAACACAATGCATTTCTTACGAACGTTTGAGTCGTTTGACACGGCTTTGTCGTCACTTGTCAGTCTTTTAAGTTACCCTTATTCCAAGAATTGCATCTTTTTATGTTAATTCTTATAAAAGAACTATATTTATTTTTAAATTTAATAAAATCTCAATATTTTTTTTTAACAGGGGTGCTGGGATTATTATATTTTACAAAAATGTGATACATTAAGTGGCCAAGAAAAAGTATTTATTGCATAAAAAAAAAGGAAATAAAGAGAATATAATATGGGTTCGTAATATAAATAGGCAATAAAAATCACCTATAAATCGATATATAAAGTTATAAATATACTATAAATAATAATTTAAGTTAAATTTAAATAAAAATAACTTACATTTATGTTTACATAATCTTGTACCTATGGTATTTTAGGAGTCAGAAAATAAGTACTTGATAAATACTTTAAACAAATAATTATGAATATAATTAAATTTGGCGTGTCCGATAAATGTTATATTTCAGTACACAAAATTAACGACTACATTGTAAAAAAATTACATGATGTTAAATTGGGGTGACCGTTTCATGAAAAATTGACAATTTTGTGAAATATTTTCGAATTTCATGAAGTGTAAAACATCCGTTTCCATTTCATGAATGAATGTTTATCTTCTTATTAAAATATCGAATTCACGAAGTGGCTACGACATATATATGTATAAAACAAAAATACGTTTATGAAAAACACAGCTTTGTGTTTATTTGGTTAAAACAAAACCCAATTCAAATTAAGTGTTCTTAGAACCTAAAAAACCTAAAAGACCATAATGCTTATTTAAATTTAATATAGTGCTAAGAATAATGAAATTTGGATTTAAAATTCCAATAAAATTTTTTATCCTGCTATTATATCCAGTAACCAGTTCTTCCGGTTCCGGTTCCAGTCCCAGAACTTGTAATAATTAGAATTTACAAGCAAAACAATGTTGGTTTGTATCTAGTTTAAAATAAACCAAAAATATCTTTTTTTCGTTATACTTTACAATCTATACAGTTTGCATCTAGAATAAATAAATATTTAATAAATTATAAAAATACAGTAAAAGTAGGAAGACTCTTAGCGAAATCGCATTAACGTACGAATATATTCTTCGTTTGTTATCATTAATTCCATATGGATAGAGTGATGCATTGAAAAAGACATTTAGCAAAAATACAAATGATTACCAAATCAATTACATAATATAAATGTATAAATTGTTTTTAATCAGACAAAGTAACTAAAGTATTGTCATTATTTTTAGACAATTGAATCATTAAGTACAACTACAAATCCCCACTATGACTAAAATACTGCCATTGATAATATCATACCTGCCACTAGGTACTTCGATAAACTTTGGCTCACTTTAACCAATAGCCATCTGGTTTGTAATTATTCATTGGCACTTGACTTACTCATATTTAAATAATTATAAAACACTGTTGTCATATTACATTGCTTAGTACCTACTAAGTCATTGATCAAAATATACAAGAGTTCGATCTTACGTCGTTTTAGTCAAATTATATAGTCACGCAATAAAAGGAACATTTTAAGTGCACAGTTAAATATTAAATCCAGTTTTGTTGTGTAATATTAATTCTCGTTTTAAAGTATTATCTTATTAGTTGTATACCGATTTACCTACTGTATTCAAATACGTGTGTAATTACTAACTAATTTGTTTCCAATAAGTTATATGCAATTCAATTTACAAAGTTATTACAAAATTTTTAAATAAAGTTTAACTTTTATACACAACTCAGTGCATCACTGAAACCTAAGAATAATATTTTATTGATACAATAATTTCAAGATAATTATAAATAATTACTTAAGTACTTATTGTTATTTGGTGAGTGTTTGGATTTCATTAATAATGTTACCTACCAATTACTTAATTTGATCCGTTATTGAATATGTGTAGTAATCATCAAACTTAAATACCTGTTGTACAAAAAGTAGACTACCTAATTAATCATAGTAAACTTTAAATATATCTCAGGAAATATAATCATTTGTTTGAAATATTTGATATCTCATATTTTTAATTTTATTCTGTAACGGGTATTTACTTCCCTACTTAGTCAATAAGTACTTAGTCTTGAAACAGTAGGTTTCGAACGGTGGTGATGAAGGGCAAAATCCCCTCTGGCATTTTTTAAATATTTATAATAGCTTAGATATAGCTATGAAACGGTAACTATAAGTTATCAAATAATGTATGTAAAAAAATATGCCACCCCCCATTTAAAAAAGCATTTTACCACCACTGTGTTGAAACTAATACAGTAGCAAACAATATGTTCTATTTAATATATTTTGTATGTTATATATTATTTTAGGTTTATTATGGACGCTGGTAATAAATATGAACGGCCTTCACATCCTAGAGCCAAAGCCAATATCCTCGAAATCCTCACATTTGGGTAAATCTTATAAAATAATCTTATATGGGCAGTAAAATTATAAAAGTCATATTTTCAGTACCTTATTAATAGTTGTGATTGTGCTTAATAATACTTACCTAATAATTAATAATCACAGTATTGTAAATACTTAGATGGATAAACTGTAGTGAATTGAAACGTACACCTATTAAACAGATTTATTTTATATATTTTAATACATTTTTCTACATTTTATTAAGATGGATTTACAAACTCTTCAAAATTGGAGAAAAAAGAGATTTAGAAGTTAATGATTTGTATGCAACACTAAAGGATCACACTTCATCATCATTAGGCAGGGAATTAGAGGAGTAAGTATATTTATAATAAAATAAATATTATTATTGTTATTTATTATTTTTTATTTTATTATCTGTATATAATTTGATTGTGTGTTTGTATATTATTTATTTTAATATGAATAAATTTAATTTAAGAAAGTGGAATGATGAGCTCGCCAATGCTAAAAAGGCCAACCGACCGCCAAATTTAACAAGATCTTTGATCAAAATGTTTGCGCTCAGATATTTTCTATATGGATTACTACACTCCATCATCGAACTTTTTCTAAGGTAAGCATTGTATTGCTCAATATAATTACTGTCGTTAATGCAAATTACTTTTGATGTATACACACGGAACAAAGCATATAAAAATATACAATATAATATTAGTATTTAGCATTATGTTTAAATCAGAGCTGTTCTATGGTAATCGCATCTTATCAAATTCCTCTTTTTCTTTTGGTTTGTCTTTTTACAAAACATCGTAGCTTAATTATATTTATAAATGCTAACAATAAAATACTAGTGATATTTATTAACCTAAATTTAAATTACAAATGTTTCTTCATTTAGTTTTCATTTTTGAAAAAATTACATACATAATAACATACATATTTTTTAATTTCTCTAACTGTATTTTTGACCAAAATGTCCACTATGGTAGTCATTATTAGAAGTTTTAAAAAGTTCACTAAATTTCTTCCTTTACTCAAAACGTTTTATTGTTAAATTAATTATGTATGTTTTATATCATTACTACAAATTATTTGTTGATATAGAATGACTCAACCATTGCTCATCGGTGGATTGTTATCGTACTATAACCCTAATTTGTCAAACAAAGCACATAATATAAACGAAGCATACATGTATGCAATATTGTTGGTATCAAACATGCTAGTTACATTAGTCATGTATCATGCAATACAAATTGAAATTTTACATTGCGGGATGAAGATGCGTATTGCCTGCTGTTCATTAATATTTAAAAAGGTAAATATGTTTTAAAAATAAATAAATATCAATATGAATACATTGTGTTGCAATCATTTAATCTCAGCATAACCTATTCAAACATTTTTTTTTTTATATTAAATAAACATAAATTAATAATTTATAAAAAGATACTTACACGTACGTAAACACTTAGAGCGTAATTGATCCTAATGTTATAAATATTATCTCAAGTTTATTCTTTACTCGATTTATCATAACATTAAAACTATTAATTAGTAATAGGTAAATATAGAAAATTTCCAAACAAATGTTTACTTACAAATTACATTTTATTTTACCCAGGCATTGAGACTAAGTAAAACGGCTCTTGGGGAAACTACTGTTGGCCAAGTAGTAAATCTGTTATCAAATGATGTAAATCGGTTCGATAGTGTAGTAATATTTCTCAACTACCTATGGATGGGTCCTTTTCAAACAATTTTAGTCACATATTTTTTGTGGCAAGAAATTGGAGTCTCATCAATAATTGGAGTAGGGATATTACTTATAGCCATTCCAATACAAGGTTTGTATTAAATATATTTTCACGAAAGTTCCTTTCACCTATAATATTAATATCTATCACCGTAAAACGAATACATAATTTATTTTTCTGTTATTTTTTTAGGTTGGATAGGAAAAAAAATTTCTCAGTATCGATTAAATACAGCCATTCGGACTGACGAGAGAGTACGTTTGATGAATGAAATAATTTCAGGAATTCAAGTTATTAAAATGTACACTTGGGAAAAACCTTTCGCAAATTTTGTAGAATATGCAAGAAGGTTTGTTGATCTAGAATCTAATGGATTACCTACTTGAATAAATAATGCATAATTATATCTATCGTTTTAGAAAAGAAATAAATGAGATTAAAGGATCATCGTATTGCAGAGCTGTAATGTTATCGTTTGTGTCTTTCCATACTAGGGTTGCAATGGTTTTAAGTATATTTGCATATGTGTTACTCGGAAACTATATCTCTGCCCAACAAGTAAAATAAATTGTGTAATTAAATACAAAGGTTTTATGATATTTTATAAACAATTTATTATACATTTAGGTATTTGTCATAACATCGTATTATAATTTATTGAGGAACACAATGACAGGTTTTTTTCCTCAAGGAATTGCGATAGGAGCGGAAATGCTTATATCTATTAAACGACTCCAGGTACTTATATATACATATATACATACTAAAATAAGGTATACATACCTAATAATATAATATAAAGTATATTAAACAAATTCAATTTAAGTGATAGATTTTTTTTTTTAAACACATCTGATATATAAATAATATGTATTATTTCAGAACTTTTTAATGTACGAAGAAAAAGAGAGCCAAGAAGCAAATCCCTCAAAATCTGATAAGAAAGCTGCGAATATTTATAAAAAAGTCATAATTACTAATGAAAATTTGTCATCGGTTAATACAAAATATAATGGCAATGGCAATCGATCACCTGAATTAAACAACATTGGGATTATCGTAAACAATGCTACAGCTAAGTGGACAAATGCTCAAACCGAAAACTCTCTAGAAAATATTAATCTAACTGTAATACCTGGTAGACTAGTTGGAGTTATCGGTCCTGTAGGAGCTGGAAAAGTACATAAATGCATACTTCATTATTATAATAGGGCGTAAATATAAAAAAAATTATAAAATTTTCAGAGTTCATTATTACAAGCGATTTTACGAGAATTACCGCTATCAGAAGGAAAAATTACAGTGAATGGTGTAGTTTCTTATGCATCACAGGAACCGTGGTTATTTGCTGGTTCTGTGCAACAAAATATTCTATTTGGTTCAGCAATGGATGACGAGCGTTATAAAAAAGTAAGCATCCGTAATAATCATTCAAATGTATTTAGGCAATACTTAATCTTAATCTCTTATTATTATTTTCTAATTTAAAAAAGGTTATACAAGTTTGTGCATTAAAAACTGACTTGGCACAGTTTCCATATGGTGATAAAACAGTTGTGGGAGAAAGGGGAGTTTCTCTCAGTGGCGGACAAAGGGCGAGAATAAATTTAGCACGGTAAAAGAAAACTATTTTTTTTATAATAAATACATTTTAAATAATTGTATTATTATCATGATACCAGAGCTGTATACAAGCAAGCGGATATTTATTTATTGGATGATCCTTTGTCAGCTGTGGATGCTCATGTTGGCAGGCATTTATTCAGAAAATGTATTAAAGGTAATAAAATAAAAAATATTATAGTATTATTCATTGATATTTTATTTTATTTTTATAGGTTACCTCAGAGATAAAACTTGTATTCTTATTACTCATCAAATACAATACTTGAGTAGCGTGGATCAAATTATTCTCATGCAAAAAGTAAATATAATAACTATAGAAAATATTACTAAATAATACGTATTTTAGAAATTTTATATTTAACATATTTAATGGTCTTCCAGGGAAATGTTTTAACTGAGGGTTCATACCAGGAACTTCAGAAGTCTAATTTAGACTTTACGAAAATGCTTGGGTCACCTGCTGTAGAAACAACATCCTCATCTCTTAATGAAAATACTTCCAAAAATTCAAGTGGTAATAATGATCGAACAGCTTATAGTCGACAAACGTCTATACAAAGTATCGCATCATCAATTGAAGATATACAAATCAGCGAATCTCAAGAACAGCCTGCTGATACATCTGAAACTCGAACATCAGGAAGTGTTTCAAAAAAGGTTTATTCGTCGTATTATCTTGCTGGTGGAAGTTGTTTTAAAATATTGTTCTTCTTTGGCATTTGTATTCTCACTCAAGTACTGGCATCAGGCGGAGATTTTTGGATGACCTATTGGTATGATAACGCGTCTCTAAGCTGCTGAAAAATATTATTTAGTATTTTATATTTTTAGGGTAAATCTAGAAGAACGTGTTTTTTATAGAGTGGACAGTGTTTCCACTTACAATAGTAAACCAACCGGCGATGCGTCTACAACATTATTGTGGTGGTCAATTTCGCGAGAGACATGTATCTATGTTTTTGGTATTCTAACTTTAACTATGATAGTTGCGATTATCATCAGGTCCATTTTATTCGTATCAGTTTGTATGAAATCTTCAATGACTTTACACAATAACATGTTCAATTCTATAACAAGATCTACAATGTATTTTTTTAACACAAATCCATCAGGTAATAAAGTAATAAATTAAGATATTATTTCCATGTTGAATATAATTATTAATTGTTTATTTTTATTATAATAAAGGACGAATTCTTAACCGATTTTCAAAAGACATGGGAGCTATTGATGAGATGTTACCAGCAGCATCATTGGATTGCATACAAGTAATATATTTTAAAACATAAACTTTTAAACCAAACTCAACACATCAAATTTTGTGCCACCGTACTAAATGTTTTTAAGGGCCCTTCAAAATATTATTTATTATTAAATAAGTATTCCTAGTTCCCACCAAAATTTTAAAAACTACAATTTGATTTCAACGGGACCTCTAAAGTTTATCGGGCCTCTAAATTCCAGGTTCAACAACCCCCCCCCCCTCCCCTCCCATATTGTGGGTGCCCTGTTTATATATATATATATGTAAATACGTATAATGATTTTAATATTCGTCCTTTAACCTAGATTGGATTATTATTACTGTCAATTGTAATAATTATTGGAATTGTCAATTTCTATCTTATGGTACCTACTTTTTTCATGGTCATAATATTTTACAAATTTCGAGTATTTTATTTATCAACTTCCCGCAGTGTCAAACGATTGGAAGGAGTTAGTAAGTACAACGGACATTTGAATTTGATTATTTATATTTCATAACAGAATGTATTTAAAAATATTAATTCTTATTGTTAACGTACTTATAGCAAGAAGTCCCGTATTTTCCCATTTTAATGCATCTCTCCAAGGTTTAACTACAATAAGGGCGTATGGAGCAGAACAAATTATATCCAATGAATTCGACAACCATCAAGTTCGTGATGAATATTTAAACATTGTTTTTTAATCTATATAATATCATAAAATATCATTCTAGGACCTACATTCTACGGCTTGGTATTTATTTATTTGTTCAAGTAGAGCATTTGGATTGTGGTTGGATATGATATGTTTTGTTTTTATATCAATTGTAACATTCAGCTTCTTGATAATCGGAAATAGTAAGTTTGAAATAATATATACCTCTATATGAAATTGTAAAGAAAAATAAATGATTATAACAAAAGATAATTTTTTAATAATTGAATATAATAATAAATGATAAAAATATATCATAAATAAACTTGAGTTTTAAAAAATAATATTTACGGTACAAATTATTATAAAAACAAACTAATAAAAAAAATGTATTGAAATAGGCAACATAGTAATTAATAAAACTATTCAATAGCACCCACTTGTCTAGGCACGTTTATTAATAATTGAGTAACGGTTCAATACTAATTGATTTTATTTTATTTTATTTAAGACACATATGGAGGAAATGTTGGTCTAGCTATTACACAAGCAATAGGCCTGGCTGGAATGTTCCAATGGGGAATGAGACAATCAGCTGAGTTAGAGAATCAAATGACTTCAGTCGAAAGAGTACTCGAATACACAAATGCTCCACAGGAAGATGCTCTCGAATCATCGCCAGGTATTAATATACAATTTTAACATATTTTGATTACCCGAAGAAAAATATAAAAAATTAAACTGATATTTTTCCTTAGAAAAAAAACCATCTACGGAATGGCCAATGAGTGGGACAATTACTTTCAAAAACTTTTACCTCCGATACGGCAAAGATAGTCCATTTGTAGTCAAAAATCTCAATATAAAAATCGAGTCAATGGAAAAAGTACTACAACAATTAGTAACCAAGGGTAGTAATTATTTTATTAATTATACATTTATTCTTCAAGGTCGGAATCGTAGGGAGGACTGGTGCTGGAAAGTCATCTTTAATTGGAGCATTATTCAGATTAGCCATCAATGAAGGCAGTATCATCATCGACGATATAGAAATACATGATATTGGACTTCATGACCTGCGGTCCAAGATTTCTATCATCCCTCAAGAACCTATTTTGTTTTCAGGAACAATGCGAACCAATTTAGATCCATTTAAAGAATATCCGGATCATATTCTTTGGAATGCATTAGATGAAGTAAACGTTTTAGTTCAATGTTTGATTTTCATACCTACATAATATATATTATACTAATAGTTTTTTTACTTGTTTATTTTATAGGTGGAACTCAGGCATATTGTTGAGGAATTACCCAATGGTCTGAATTCAATGATGTCTGAGGGTGGTTCAAATTTCAGTGTTGGCCAAAGACAATTGGTGTGTTTAGCTAGAGCTATTGTAAGAAATAATAAGATTCTTATATTGGATGAAGCCACTGCCAATGTTGACCCACAGTAAAAATAAAAAATATAAATAATACTATAAATAGTATATTTTGTTTTATAATTATAAAAATATATTTCATTTTATTTTTTTCAGAACTGATATATTTATCCAAAATACCATTAGAAATAAATTCCGAATGTGTACGGTATTAACCATTGCTCACCGTTTGAATACAGTGATGGATTCAGACAAGGTACTTGTAATGGATGCAGGTGCAATGGTTGAATTAGACCATCCACATAATTTGTTGAAAAATAAAAATGGGTTCTTATCTAAAATGGTGGAACAAACTGGGCCAATCAATGCAGAATTGTTACATAGTACAGCTTCAGAGGTATAGATATTTTTATTGGTCATTAAATTTTATATACAAATTTAAATACGTTTATTTTTTTTTTTTACAGAGCTATAATAATATGATTATATCGAAAGAATATCCTATAAAATCTTGAAAATAAAATGTCTTCAAATTTTCATAAAGTCGATGGTTCCTTAATACTTATTTTCCTGTATGCAATAAATACCTATGGCAGCATCAATTCAACTTTTTTCTAGTGAAGAGTGCTGTTTATGAGCTCTGATAGTATATAATTGTATTTATTAGTTTTAAGTTAAATAGTAAATATTTATCTAATTTTAATTGTAAATCTTAACATACTTTAAAAATATGTTATAATGCTTTTGTCAATTGTCATTTATTAATAATTATCATGTATCATAACTCATAAGACTTTGTTGTTTATTTGTCCACTAAAAAGAATTTTTAATTAAAAGTTATGTTTTATTTTATTATTATCACATCTGAAAAAAATTCAAGATTGAAAGAATTTATGATTCATTGTTGGTCTAACCTCAAAAATTAAAAATTAACAAAAACTATGTCATTATTTATAACTTTCTCTTTAAGCACAGGGTATGTACCCGAGTACAACTAATCAATAACGCAATTCAAAATTTTGAAATGATTCACAATTTACAAAGTACGCCGTTCATCGTAGGCCAATACATTTTTCACTCAGCTCAAAATCTAAAAAAAAAATAAGATCAAGAACCAATGCATTATATTCCCCATTTAAATCGTTGTCATGAAGGTACTCCATATTTTATATTTTTATAAGTAGGTAGGTATGTAATAGTACTACCTACCTATTACCTACGTGACATTACTGACATTGACATTAATGGAATATAGGTAGTATTGTAAACAAACTATAGGAACTTGTAAATTATTGTTGAAAGCTTTTAAAAATATTATCACTTATCACGCCACCAAGTATGTGTTATGCGTGACAAAGTATCAAATTCATATTGATACTGTCTTTATCGAACCATTTAATAATGCCCTATTTAAAAAAACTCATTGTCTGGTGATCCAGAAAGGCTAGGTATTAAAAGGTGTTAATCTTTATACTTTTTTTTATTTTTGGTTGTGATGTCATTCGACTTACAACCCTACCTTCAAGTTATATTCTTCAACTATTTGGTTTTAAAAAAAAAAAATGAAGTTCCTACCTTGCTTCATTAATATTTATTTATTTTATCAGTATTATAAAAAATGTCGTATACTTCTTTTTACAAATATACTCAATTTATCATTGGTAGGTACTTCGGTAATGTTTTTATTATTTTTATTCTTATAATATACACTCGTATCGGAAAATTTTTGTGGCCTCCTGATGAAGCAGAAAGACATCCGTAGTGATTATAATGTTGTTAGTAGCCTTCCTAAGACCCAACATAATACCTTTGTTAAATTTCAAGTGAATCGGACACATACTTTCCAAAATCATTCAAGCCAAAAAACATGACATTTAATTTAATTTACTAACAATAATAATAATAATATAAATATATGTAGGTATTAGATAGATAGATTGATATACAAGTATTCATATTGCTGCATAATATTAAGTAAAATAATCAAATTTAGTAAAACTATTAGTCCAAATCTGTCTTACAATTGTATAAGCACTAATGTCCTAAATTTATTTTCGAAAATTGCATGCTTTTATCTATACTTCTACTTTACACACCCGCTGCAAATAAACAATAATTTTGTTAGTATTTTTTCGTCTAATTTAAAATTGTTGTTTATTCATTATTGGACAAATATGATAAATGTATAATTTTAAGTTTTGAATGATAGTAAATAAAATATAATACGTAGCAGTATGCTCTAAAATAAAACAAATTATAGGTACTAAGTATTTGAATTAATTAGTCCAATAACATGTGTAATACACTAATACACTTAAACGGTTAATACAACTTAATCAACAATAGTTTATAGTTATGATGCAATGGCAATATTATGTAAACGTTATTTATATGTTATGACAACATATTATTAAAAACTCGTATACTACGCCTTAGACTTAGCCCCTAACAATGCAAATTGAGTGTATCCTAAACAAATTAATTTATGGCTACTTAACCTTAGTATTTTTTTTTTCAAAATAGTTATTGTAGGTTCAAGTAAAGAATAACGCATGTGCTATTATTTACCTACTTGTTTACTAATCAATAGTAAATACACAATAACTAATTGATAGAAACCTACTATGTATATATATGTACAATGCTCAAGCACATACATATTTAACTAATACCTATATGATATGCATTACACTTAAATTTAATTTATAAAATGTATTTATATATATATATCAATTAATGTCTGTCTGTCTCGTATGCCTGTTCAAACGGCTGGACCGATTTTGATGAAATTGTTTGTGTATGTTTGAGTGGTTCCCTGGATGATGGATTCGACCCAGTAAGTCCAACCCGGATTGTAGCTCAAACAAAGGGTTTCGGGATTGACGAAGAAAATTATTGTCTATAAACGGTTGGTATTTATTTATAGGATAAATATAAATATATTTAGTAGAAATAAATTAATATTTTTTTTGATTATTGGTTGCCATTGGTTGATCGTCATTAAACAAGCATCAAATCGAATTTTCGCACATTTACCAAGGTGGCTGAGTTGCACTTAAAGCCATCCATCGACGTGTCCGCAATAAGAATAAAAATATATATTTATGTAGAATACTCACCTAGCGGGGTCCGAAATCCACCGCATGTGGATTCCCTACCTGGTAATATACTGGTCGTACTATCACAAGCGAGTCTCATATAGAGTTGGAATTTTTAACGGGCAACGATGTGCACGGGGTCAGCTAGTATATAACAAAATATAGTTAGTTTCATAATTATAAAACTGTTGACAATATAAAAAAAAATACTTGTTAATACTACGGTAAATTTAAAATTCAACCAAAATAATTAAGAATTTTAACAAGATAACCCCGAAATGTTACTATTCTACAACTTATAATTTACCTATATTATATATTTTTATGAATGACATCACTTCATTTTAGTTCAATTTCTCAATGCACTTAAAGCCACAGTCTACAATAGTCAGTTAATCTTATTAGAAAACTACTGTATTAAAGAAATAGGAACGATATAAACTCATTATTTAATATTGATTATAAATAAAGATTAAAGATATTTATGCACTTGAATCAATGCCTATTCGCAAATAAACTACAATTATTGGCTTTTAGCTACTATCATGTACTTCAGTCATACAGGTAAAGAATATTATTACAAAACAAGTAGTACGTATGGCAGTTAACTAACAACAAACCTATTCCTTAAAAAATCTTAAAAAGGTAAGTAGTTTTTTTTTTATAACACATTTTGCTAAGTATTACTTCAGAACATTTTTTTAGAAAAATGGGTGTTTTTATTGATGTTTATTAGTTTATTACAAACCATAGTGTGTACTTAATCAATTTATCATACATTTAGCACAAATTAGACTTTGAATTGTATTATCGCATGCAAACCCTAGCAAATAAACTAATAGTAATTCATATTGTATAACACTATTTGAGTTTTTCTCGGATTTGAACTTAATAATTCTTCAAATACAAGCTTCAATGTTTTGAAAAGTTTTTAATCATAATACTATTATAAAATACAAATTAATTTTACATATTATGTGAAATTCAATTTGTATTTTGATTGTATTCTTTATTGAATGATGATGACAATTATACAAATAATATATATTCTTTAAATCTTAAATTATCATTCATAACAAAGTCATGACAATTTACTGACATAAGATATACTTACAATCTTTAAATAATTTTTCATTTATTAACATAACTTTTATTCAATTTAATAAAATACATTTTTCATTTTATTTAAAATAGAATTCAAAATTGTACTTATTATTATTTATTACTATTCTAGATTTAAAATGGATGCGACTTACAAAGGAGAAAAACCACCCAATCCAAGATCAAAAGCTAATATTTTTGAAATTATAACATATAGGTAAACTTAACAACGTTAAATAAAACTTTATTGTTTTATTGTATTTTATAAAAAAACCGAAAATTATTAATAATTATTAAACTTTTAAATTTATATTCGAATGAAATAAAAAATATAGTTTTGTATGCGAAAAATATATCAACAAAAGATCTTGAATTAAATTAGTATGATTATTATTATTATTATTATTATTATTATTATTATTATTATTATTATTATTATCAATTATTATGATTATTTTTAATTATAGGTTTTTAATTATGTTCCTTTAAATTATAAAAAAAATCTGAGTTTAATAAGAAGAAAATGTATTACCTATATTGTTAGTTATTTGCATCTGTCAGTTATTTCTGTTATATTCTGCCAGCACCCATGTACATTTTTATCTTAAACTTTTGTAACTTACCTTCTCTTGGTTAATACTTTCTCTTTATACATATTACCAAGATATCATCCAACATCCCTATTCTGACAGGATGAGTTCACCAAAGAGCTATGTTCTCTCATTATCCTATCTAATATATATATATATAGCTGTAGATCTGCCAATTAGGTCCTACACATCAGTAGCTTATTTTTCAGTATATAAGAAAATATACCTACTTCCCAAACATATACAAATTATATTAAAAAGTCATGAGTCATTCGGAGACTGCCATAGTTAAGGAATTACATAGCAATTTTGTATCTATATGTATCATGTAATTAAAACTAATTATTTTTTTATGATGTTAATTCAAGTTACACTTTTCGAAGACCAAAAAGAAAATGAAAAAATTAGTTTTTTGTTGATAATGGTAGATAAACACCGTACATCGTATATTATAGGTACATTTTGGTATTCCACCACTTTTCGAATGCCGCGTATTCCGCAACGTTTTCCGCAGGGTTTTAAACTGTTAATACTATTAATGCGTGTACAACCTATCTACAAATCATTACTGATGAGTTATGACCATTTTTAGATGGAAAATCTAATAAGCTGCTGAATTATCTCATATCAACAAACAAAAAATTTTTTACTGAACAAAGTTTTTTTTATTTACAACCTGTAATTATCCACATTGTAATGCAATGAGTAAATTGGAGGGGGATTATTAGAGTGATGAAGAAGTCTCCCATTGACGACCCTCCGTACAAAATTTAAACCGTTCAATCAATATAACCGTAAAAATGTATAAAAAAACCTTTTTCCATTCATTGCTTTCATCAATAATACTCAAACCATCACTGAAATATTCTGATCTGCATTAAAAATGTTTTTCAATGTGTCGCACTAACCTTATAGATACTTTAGTTTCAGAACATTACTTCAATACAATAACCTATGATACCACAACAAATATAAACTGAAAGGGGGTACATCTTTAAATAACTTACAATATTAGTATACAAGTAGGTACCTAGATAATTTAGTTGATCAATATTTTATTTAATCAGATTGCCTTTTAAAATGTTTCCACTAATACTAAAATATAACTTACTTATTAGTCATTCTAGTGCCATATAGCATCAGGTACAAGTGTTGATCAAGCATTGCCTTAAATATGGGTTGGTGGGTATTGGTAGAAGAAAATAGGAAATTGTATAGGGCCGTATAACTGCAGTATTATGAAGGGTAAGTCAGCTCTTTAAGAAACACGATGATTTTTTTTATGATATACGCCACTAAGTCATTTATAATTAAATGAATCATTTAAAAGGAATAACCTAAAAATTCAAATTGAGTTGAATCATTAATGTCTGTAACGTGTGCACGCATTTTTATTATTTTAAGATGGATTTTAAACTTTGTCAAAAAAGGATTAAAAAAAGAATTAGATTTGATTGACTTATATGAAGTTTTGGATGATGATTCATCAGCTTTATTGGGAAATAAGTTACAAAAGTAAATAGTTTTTCATGAGTTTATACACAAATTTTGATCAATATTATAAAGTATATAAATCGATTTTTTTAATATTTTTTTTCTAGATTTTGGGATGACGAATTAATAAATTCAAAAACTAAAAATCGAAAGCCTAGTTTTCTCAAGACGTTAATTAAAATGTTTGGCACAAAGTTTATGTTAATTGGAATTTCAATGACGGTAATTCAGATTATTTTAAGGTAATGTTTTAGAATATACATTATTATATATATCTATAAGAAATATAATAACATAATATCATATAAAGGAATAACCTTTTTTTTATTAGTGTTTAGGCCACGATATCTGGCCATTGGCCTGTATTTTTTTTTAAAATTATTTTATAGTTAGGCACATATCTTACAATTAGTATTATAAATTGAATTGAATTATAAAAATATTAATTACCAAGATAACTATTAATATTCTTACTATTTTTATTTAATAGCATAAGCATTTCGACAATGGTAGGCCTTATAGTCAATCATTTTGAAACTAATACATCTTTAGATCAAAATCCGGTTGGAGTATATTTAGCAATTGGATTAATTTCACTTTTGTTGATAAGGGCTATAATCTATAACAGCTTCAGCATGTCAATTGCACATATATCGATGCAAATTCGAGTAGCGACATGTGATCTGATTTACAATAAGGTAACAATATAATTGAATGCAGCACTTTATAATAATAATACACTATTTATCTATAAAAAAATGGTGTAGGGCAGCGATTCTCAACCGGGGGGTCGCAACCCCTTTAGGGATCGCCAACAATTATTTTAGGGTCGTCAATCCATGTGGGAAAAAAATTGTTTCACTTAGAATCTTATAATTAATAGTAAGTGTTATAATATATATATATATATTTTTGGATAGTCCGGTAGTCGATAAAAACGTTCATTGAAGTGTACTTAATATACCTTTTTTTGTGAAATATATATACACAAATAAATACAATAATAACAGTTGGTTCAATTTTTTAATGCTTACATTATAATAGGGTCGTTGGACATCTTGGTGACATTATAGGGGGTCGCGAACTCAAAAAGGTTGAGAATCGCTGGTGTAGGGTATAATTATTCTAGGTATATTGATTATTGGCTATGTCAGATTTTTTTTTATTTACATATTATCCTTAGATAATAACCTCAATATATAACTGACTTCATTATTATCAACATTTTGCTTATACAAACATACAATTGTGTATTTAAATTTTACAACATATTAAATTATTTTATTAGGCATTACGACTCAAAATAAATTCACTAGATCCGACCACAACTGGACATATAATAAATTTAATGTCCAACGATGTTAACCGATTTGATGTGTCTGTAATTTATATACCTTTCTTATGGCTTGGACCTTTGGAAACATTTGCTTCGATGTTTTTTTTGTGGCAAGAAGTAGGTGCGTCATCAGTTATAGGAGTGGGCGCGTTGCTCATCTTTATACCATTACAAGGTTAGTAAAGAAATAATTTGAATGTTAGCTAGTATATATTTTGTATTAACTTTTATTTGGATTTAAATTTAAGTCTGGTTGGCGTCGAAAACTTCCACTATTCGATTAAAAACAGCCAACCGAACCGACGAGAGGGTTCATTTGATGAATGAAATAATATCGGGATTACAGACAATCAAAATGTATACTTGGGAACCTTTTTTTGATAATCTTACAAAAGGATTAAGAAAGTAATTTATCAAAAAAAAAAAACTAAATCATATTAAACTAAATAAAAATATTTTGATTCATACATTATAGGAAAGAAATGACTCAAATTATTGAATCGTCATACATTAAACGTATCTTATCGTCTTTCTTTATATTTAACACAAGAATCGCATTGTTTGTAAACATTTTTTCATACGTTCTGCTTGGAAACTACATAACAGCATCAAAAGTAATGTAATACCTACCTATTCATAATAAATATATCCTACTACTAACTAAATATACCGGCATCGCTCGTGTGCTGCTCGTTTTGTGACCAATCCTAGTATGGTGTAAACGTTAAATAGATATATCTCGGTTAGAGTGAATCTCAAATATTGTACCTCAACTTATAGACAACTTGGTGTCAGTGTACCTAGCTTTGAGAAATAATTCGACATATATATGTGCAACAGCAAATCGCGGATTGGATTTAGCAAAATTGAGATTTTTGTCAAATTCAATTCAGTAATTACTGAGCATATATTAGATACACACATACATTTGGTTTTAAGAAATAGTTTTTTGTTTGGGCCATAAGCACGATAATTTGATGCATGATCGTACCTGATCTGCTCAAGTAACTAATGGCAACCATTTACAAAAAAAAAAGTTTGAATTCCACAGTGAATCTCAAGTCCCTGTTTGAAAACCTCTCTAAAATTTGAATATCAGAAAATCCTTTCTTATTGCACATTTAGATCATTAGAAGAACCACTATTCCAAATTTCAAGTTCATACGTTTCGTAGTTTTTGAGATATAGCAAGGAATGAAAAGAATGACTGGTATTTGGCTTATATATATATTGATTATAGGTAAAGCTCTTACATCATAGTTCAAGGTAATCCTATTCTTATATTGATACATATCTCTTCAATTTTATACAAAATTATAATTAATAATAACCAAACATCTTTTGATGTTAGCTGATTTAGCGGTAACATTTTATATTCAAGAGTGAATCATCGTAGTCAGTAGATCACTAAACATTTAATAAGATTGACCACAAAATTAATTTTCATTATATTATTAGATGCTTAATTCATATATAATAATTGTATGATATATTTATGTATTCCTTTGCAATTACTGTGTGTATATTATATCATACTATGTAAGTAGTAAATCAATAATAAATAATACAATTTCATATCCTAATTACTAATTTGATTTAATTTATATTGTATTAAATCAAGGTATTTGTTATAACAACATACTATGGCATTTTGCGGTCGTCACTATCACTACTTTTCCCACCGGGGATAAGCCTAGCTGCTGAATTACTAGTTTCAATCAAAAGGTTTGAGGTATGAAGGACACATACTAAATAAAATATATGGAATTTACATTTATATTATTTAATAATAATTATAAACTAATTTATAGAATTTCCTTTTACGAGAAGAAAAGGATAAGCGACCACAAAGTCAAACAAAAACCACTAATATGTTAGAAAAATCAAGTAATGGTAGTACCGTGGCAAATAAAAATAGTATAGATCGAAATGATACTGAACAATTAAGTAATACTGGTATAGTCATATCGAACGCTACAGCCAAGTGGTCAGACACCCAAACCTATTACACTTTAGACAATATTAATTTAACTGTAAAACCAGGTCGATTGGTTGCAATAATTGGTCCAGTAGGAGCTGGAAAAGTATAACTTATATAAATATAATAACTGATCCGTTTGAAGTATCTTTAAGTCACATTACTATTCTATTTCACTGCAGAGTTCTTTGATACAAGCAATTTTACAAGAACTACCACTTACTGCAGGAGACATTTCGGTGCGTGGAGTAGTGTCTTACGCATCACAAGAACCGTGGTTATTTGCAGGTTCCGTAAGACAAAATATTTTATTTGGTTCACCAATGGATAAAGATCGTTATAAACGGGTAAACAGTTACATATACTTTAAAATCAAAATCAAAGTACTAATTTAGTTTTTATTTAATTGTTTAATCGTAACATAGGTTATACAAGTTTGTGCATTAAAAACTGATTTAGAACAACTGACATACGGTGATAGAACAATAGTAGGGGAAAGAGGAGTTTCTCTTAGTGGTGGACAAAGAGCAAGAATCAATTTAGCAAGGTAGTGAGTTTATTTGTTCTTCGAAAAAACTTAAATATTATTATATGGTTTATTATAGAGCAATGTACAAGAAAGCAGATATTTATTTATTGGATGATCCCCTATCAGCAGTTGACACTCGCGTTGGAAAGCATTTATACGAAAAATGCATAAAAAGTATTTAAATGTTTAACATCGTATCTGACATTAGTATTTTTATTATTTTAAAATGTACAGGTTACCTTAAGGAAAAGACTTGTATACTCGTTACTCATCAAATACAATACTTAATTGATGTTGATCAAATTGTTTTGATGGAAAATGTAAGTATAATCATTAATAATATCACATTACTTATAATTTTACAAATGTTAAAGTGTAGAACGATAAGTTTTATGTATTTTTTTGTAATAGGCAAAAGTAGTAACAGAGGGTTCTTATAAAGAACTTCAAGCTTCTGGTTTAGACTTTACTAAATTGCTTGAATCTTCTACTGAAACAGCAGTTTTACCCGATAATGAGAGAAAAATTGATAAGTCTAGCAACAATAATATGGCACGTTCCATATCCTATATTCGGCAAGAGTCCATCCTAAGTGTTGCGTCATCAATAGAAGAAACCAAATTTAATGATATTATAACTGAACCTGTTGAAATAGCTGAAACCCGTTCTTCGGGAAATATATCATTTAAAGTATATATGTCATATATTTTTGCTGGTGGTCATTCATGCAAAGTTATAAGTTTAATATTGGTCTGTATTTTTACTCAATTATTTGCATCAGGTGGAGATTATTGGATAACTTATTGGTAACTAAATGTTTCCATTATTTCATAGACTATCTGAATATCCATATAAAATTCTAGTTTATTTTAGGGTAAATTTAGAAGAACATGTTTTTGGTGCAACTAAACCTAACAGTTACAGCAATTCTACGACAGATGATTCTTCTGTAGAATTGATGCCATTGATTGTATCAAGGGAAACTTGTGTTATTGTATTTGCTGCTTTAACAATCTTAATCATAATAGCCACCTTAGCAGAAACTGTTTTATTAGTATCTGTTTGCACGACGGCATCAACGAACTTACATAATCAAATGTTCACTGCTATCACAAGATCAACAATGAATTTCTTAAATAAAAATCCATCAGGTAAAAAAATATTTTTTTTTAATTTTTTTTTTTTAACTTTAATTGTAACTTTTTTCATGTTAGGGAGAATTCTTAATCGTTTTTCAAAAGATATAGGGCTGATTGATGAAATATTGCCAAATATATTAGTTGACGTTATACAAGTAAGATATAATATCATTAATTTTATAGTTGAAAATAAGAATATTTGTATTTTTTATTACACTTTATTAGATGGGTTTGATGGTCATTGGGATGTTTGTAGTTGTGGGAATTGTCAATCCTTATTTAACCATTCCGATCATAATTGTAATGATGGTTTTTTTTAAAATGAGATATGTTTATATGACTACTACTCGTAACATCAAACGACTAGAAGGAGTTAGTAAGTATTGTAAATTAGGTACTAAATATTTATGGAAATGTAAGGATGAATGAACATAGATTTTATTAAATAAACTTAAAATAAATATATGTATAATTAAAATCTATATAATCACAGAACTTTTATTCTTTAAAATATAGCCCGGAGCCCTATGTATACTCACGTAAATGCATCGATCTTGGGACTGACTACAGTAAGATCATTTGAAGTAGAACAAATCCTTTCTAAAGAGTTTGCAATCCACCAGGTAATATTATAAAACACTAAAATATTTCATTTTTTCATTACTTAATTATTCAAAATTGTTCTTAGGATTTGCACTCATCCGCCTGGTATTTATTTATTTCTCTGAGTAGAGCATTTGGATTTTGGTTGGATATCATTTGTCTATTATTTATAAGTGCTGTGACATTTTACTTTATATTCATTGATAATGGTAAGTTAAAAAAAAATTTGAATTAGATATTTATAAAAAATACTGTATAATATTATAAAATATTTATTTATATAAAGTGAGTATTTTATCAATGAACACCAATTGTTCAAAAACTTAAATAAATATATTGAACTAAAATATTTTTTTACATAATTGTAAGTCGTTCCAAAGTTATATTTTTACTATTTTTGATAGTTATCGTTTCTAAGTCATTAGTTTTTTGAATGGCAACATACATTTTTAATTGTATATTAATATTAAAATGATGTGTTTTTTCTGTGTGTTTATGCATACACTATAGACGATAAATAGTCTAAATAATGCTTCAATTTTCAACTTCAGTATCCTTTCTAGTGGGAAAGTGAATCTATCTAATTGGTGCTTCGGGAGGTAAAAATATAAAATCACAGTCATTTTAAAAAGCGTCAAAAAAACCGTGGCTCTGTGTCTACGCACTCTGAGTGTACGTACCGGCAAAAAAAATCCTTGCCACACATGTTCTCCCCCCCCCCTACAAAACAACTAATGGCCTAAGTTTCCGGGCTTAAGATCAATGAAAAAAAAATTATTAAATAAATAAAATACTTTAATAACAATTATATATCATATAATATACTTAGTAATGTTATAAGCAGACAGATCATATTCTATTGAAAAAATTTTTTTACACAGTGATGTTATATCGTTGAATTTAAATTTAACTCGACATCTACTGTACAGTAGAAAACTTAACTAACTTATGGTTGACGATGACAAATTGTTAAAGAGTAATAATTTTTAAAATTATGATAAAATAACATTTATTTTTTTTAAATTTAATGTGTAGTTACGACTTAAAATCATCTAAAAATAAATATTTTTAATAACCTATGAAATAATGACTGTTCTTTAATACAAAATAAATAATCTGATTAGTTGTTTGTTAAACAAAATTAAATTGTATTCCATTAGAAATTAATAAGGGAACAGTTTTGAAAATTTAAATTTAATTTAGGTACATATGGTGGAAACGTCGGATTGGCTATTACGCAATCAATTGGATTAACTAGTTTGTTCCAATGGGTAACTAGACAGTCTGCTGAATTGGAAAATCAAATGACGTCTGTTGAAAGAGTTTTAGAATATTCAAATGTACCACAAGAATCAGCTCTTGAATCGCCTCCCGGTAATAATACTGTTTGTACACCAACATAATATCATGAAATGCTGAAACAAAATAATTCACAGGTTAACTCAATTTTGTAAAAATGATTTTTATTACTTTAGACAAGAAGCCATCAAAAATATGGCCACACGAAGGTCAAATTATATTCAAAACATTTTATCTGCGTTATGACCAGGATGCGCCATTTATTTTGAACAATTTGAATTTTAACATTGCACCTGCAGAAAAAGTAATAATATACATAATTACGTTTAGTAATTTAACGTCAGAATATAAGGATATTTATTGTCTTGAAATATTATAAACTCAAAAAGTCATTTTTAGTATAGAAAAACTAGCTTTATCCTGTAGTGTTAGACTGTGCCCGTATTTAATGTTAGTGCAGTGTTTATCCGTGTTTCAAAATATCTTTGATAATACATCTTATTAATAGTTTCGTAATTATCAAGGTTGGAATTGTTGGAAGGACTGGAGCAGGAAAATCATCTTTGATTGCAGCATTATTTAGATTAGCTGTTAACGAGGGTAACATAATTATCGATGGTGTAGAAATACACGAATTGGGATTACACGACTTGCGATCCAAAATTTCCATCATACCTCAAGAACCAGTTTTGTTTTCAGGAACAATGAGAAACAATTTAGATCCATTTGATGAATACCCAGATCATGTCCTTTGGAAAGCTTTAGATGAAGTAAAATGTTTGTTTTAAATACCTATTTACATAATATACAAAATGTGTTTTATATTGAACCATTCACATTCATAGTATTAAAATATTATATAATAATAATTAATGTACATACTTAACTATAATTATATTAAGGTGGAACTCAAATATGTAGTAGAAGATTTGCCAAATGGTCTAAACTCGAAAATGTCAGAAGGTGGTTCTAATTTCAGTGTTGGTCAAAGACAATTAGTATGCTTGGCTAGAGCAATTATACGAAATAATAAAATTCTCGTTTTAGACGAAGCCACTGCAAATGTTGATCCACAGTAAGAAATTAGAATTTAAAAACATTATGAAATGTAAATTATGTACGAATGGGGGTACCTACTAAAATAATGTTTCTAATTTTTACGTTTTAGAACTGATTCTTTGATTCAAAAAACTATAAGAAATAAATTTAGTAAGTGTACAGTATTAACAATTGCACATCGTTTGAATACAGTGATGGATTCTGATAAGATACTTGTAATTGACGCTGGTTCGGTAGTTGAATTTGATCATCCATATAATTTATTGAAAAATAAAGATGGATTTTTATACCAAATGGTAGAACAAACTGGACAAGGCAATGCTGAATCATTATATAGTTTAGCTTATGAGGTATTTGATTTTCGTACATATATGTTTACATTTAAGTGTATCGTATATCATAAATATATTTTTTATAAAAATGTTTTAAAGAGTTACAATAAAGTTCAGAATATGTCAAGCGAACATCCACTAACAAGTATTAACGAAGATGGAAACTAAATTAAGATCATGAATGTTTAGATATTTTATTATTTACGTATAATCAAATAGATATAAGGTAGAAATAAGGTAGATTTAATATATCATTGTACAATTAATTATAATAAACATTAGAAGTTGCCTTTATTTCTTTTATAGCTAATTACATTTTTTTAATGTAAATCAACAAGTGAACATTGACAAGTATAAATGAAAATCAAATTTATTTAATAAATGTATCATTAATATTTTTTTTAGATATTTTAATTTGTTATATTTTTTCATCATATATAAATCTAGAATAAGTACAAGCCCATTAAAATGCTATTCATACAAACATAATATACATTAGGTACATATACTCTTACATTTCATTTTTAAGATATATAATACAATTTGGTTAGTTTTATAAGTAGGTATACAACTGTTAGAACTCTAAAAAAAATTATCCATATGAACCATATATTCATATTATATCATATAAGAAAACTTTTAGGTATATAAATTAAAATATCTAGCAATAAATATCTACTATGCCAACATGCGACGTATGGCCCCATTTAGCAGAGTCCTTATACTTATTAAGATTCCCACCACAAATAGTATATATGATGCTTATAATTTTTTGTCATAGTCAATAATCGACGAGGCAGATGGCTAAACCTTAAGTTTATTTTTCACAGTAATTTTTGATCAATTGATTTGTAGATGTGAACGTTTCTGGACTTGTTTCGTTTACTATTGAATCAGTATAGGTAATATAGGTATTTATTTAACTTTAAAAAACTACACACGATGCGAGTTGATTAAATTAAGACTTCTACAAATGTAAGTTTTTTTTCTGTATAAAATATTATAGGTACCTACCTAATTAACAATACCACGCGAGTACGCGATACGCGCGTTTCTCAAAAAATATATTTAAATAATTATTATTATTCGTGGTTTAACTTTTAATAGATAGCCAAATAGGTATATAAGACACATGCGTTCAATAACCTCCAATATAGTAGGTATTAAGCATTTAAACGGTGTATTGAAATTGGTTCTCGGGGTGGTAAGTACGGAGGATATATCCGAATTGGTTCTTGAATGTTCGGAGATATATCCGAATTGGTTCCCATACTATTTTAAAAGCATTTTCAATTTTTCTTCCCATTTTATACAGAATACCTACAGATTTGTTTTTTTCTCGTGTGCTTTATTAAATTTCATATATAGGTACACCCATGCATAATGATGTGAAATATTTTTAATTTTTATTATTGTCAAATAATACCTATTATTTGATTATATTTCTTCTTTTCAAAAGTCTTTTCGGGAACCAATTCGGACGCAGTCGTATTAAGTAGGTATTAATAGACACAGTTTATAAAATATATAATATTTGTAGGTATAACGATATAAAAACAATTCTACGGCGTCATCTTTTACACATTTTGGTATTTTATATTTTGAACTCTGAATATAATTTTTTATAGTAGATAACTTCCACGTGCTAAGTACTTATACAGAATTGATTTTTGTAAAAATTACTATAAATCTTAACATTCATTTTTTTTTCAAATAATGTATACTGATGTTTGCTGTTGAAGATTTTAATGTATCTTATTATGACGGGAAGATGGGTATTATAGTTAGTTTATTATTTATAAGTTATAGTTATAAATTATATCTTTCTTGTTTATGGATATTAATTGATCACGAATTAAATGCAAGATTAACATTTTATTTTTATATTTTTTTACCTGTGATATCGAATTTTGGATAGAAATTATTAGATTACAATCATGCATCATCAATAATATTATTATAAATACAATATGGGTAGTAGGTACCAAGATAGCAGTATAAAAAGCAAAATATCAATAAAATATATTCGATTTTTTTTCTTAAGTATTTTTTTAAAAAACTATGCAAGTTACAAAAGACCATGTACTATGAATATTTTATGATTACCTATAGATTAAAAATATGGACGCAACATCCAAAGAGGAAAAACCATTCAATCCAAGAGCGAAAGCTAATATTTTTGAAATTATTACTTTTAGGTAAATTTATTACATTTTGTTATGAATAACTATTATTAATGCATAAGTACAAATAATGGCAATTATATGGCTATATATATAAATTATATATAAAAATATATAGCTATACTCTAAAAGTCTAAAGCAGAGATGGCGAACCTATGACACGCGCACACTATTTTAGTGACACACACACAAATATGTAAAAGTTTGGTAATATTAAAAATTTTGAAAAAAAATTGAAGGGCTATCGAACTAGGTGACAAGCAGGGAAAACAAAATCCAACCAACATTTTTATTCGACACGCTGGTACAAAAAGGTTCGCCATCCCTGCTCTAAAGCATAATTATCCTACCTAGGACCAATGTATTAATTTTTGAAGGTATTCTGTTTGTATTCTTATTGTAAAGACTAAAGGTACATATCAGTGCTTAAGCATAATCAAGTCAGTTTTGCACTTTTAGATTTTTTGAAAACCCATGCAATTTGCCCTTTTGGATACCATTACAGCATTAAATTTTACAAATTTTATATCGAATGTATTCTTTCAAAATGCGTGTCAACTATTTTTAATGTTAAAACTTGTTTTTGATTTGTTTATGTTTCAATGATATGTTAGTCACGAAGGCATTTACGTATTTATAACAATAATGAAACATCTAGAAATGTAAAATGTGAATATTATGGCTACATTTATTACACACCATATATTATTTTGAGTATTGATTAAATATTAACTATTATAAAATACATAATATACATTTATTTTTAAGTTGGATGTTAAAACTCATTAAAAAAGGGTTAAAAAAAGAATTAGATTTAATCGATTTATACACAATTTTGGAAGAAGATTCATCTGCATTACTGGGAAACAAATTAGAAAAGTAAATGATACGTCATGCGTGTGACGAATTGAAATATAAACTGTATATATGCCTATTTACTTTTTTTCGCAAGGTTATGGAAAGAGGAATTGATAAATTCAAAAAAGAAAAATCGAACTCCAAGTTTTTTAAGGACACTAATGCAAATGTTTGGAACTAAGTATATTTGTACCTCGATTCTATTAACAATATTAGAAATTTGTTTAAGGTAGGTAAAATATAGTAATAGTGTGTATGCACAGTATCTGAAACGTTAATAATTAGTTTTTAATTATTTCTTATTTTAATATTAAACTTATAATTGTAGTATTACTATATGTTTGATAATCAATTCATTCATTATGCAAATAACCTATTTTCATGTATTTGAATAGCATTGGTATATCGACTATTGTTGGAAAAATAGTAGTACATTTTGAAACTAATAAATCAGTAAATCAAAGCCCAGATGGAATTTATTTAGCAATTAGTTTAATAGCAGTTTTATTAATGAGGTCAATTCTTTATAACAGTTTCTATTTGACAATGTCTCATATTGCAATGAAAATTCGTGTTGCGACTTGCAATATTATTTACAAAAAGGTACATTTTAATTTGTCTAATCCTTAAACAATAAACATTGAATACGAATTATTCTTTTATTGTATAAAATACATTTTTTTATAGTTATAAACAACATCGACACAAATGATACAATATATTTATAATATTATTATTATTATTTCTAGTCGTTACGATCCAAATCGAATTCTCACGACCAGGTTTCGACTGGTCAAATAATAAACCTCATGTCAAACGACGTAAATAGATTTGACTTATCACTTTTGTACGTGCCTTTTTTGTGGATTGGTCCTTTAGAAACAATCATAGTGACGTATTTTTTATGGCAAGAAGTTGGCATGTCATCAGTACTTGGTGTTACTACGTTACTTATATTTATACCATTACAAAGTTAGTAGATAATATAAGTAACCTATATAAACTGCAGTAATTTAACTATTATACTAAGTTTTAAATAATTATACTTAAAAAAAATGTATCCGACTTATAAATTAAAATTATGTACTCATAAAGTTCTAAAAAAAATTCGTAGAAATAAGCTTTAAAGAGACTGGTATTGCGGACAGATAATTTTTCTCATTCATCGAATATTCCCATACTTAGTATATATTTCTATTATTCATCAGTCATCCATCTTTTTTTTCAAGGACAGTACAATGATGAAAATATAACATCTTAAATGAATTGTTTGTATATGTTTTTCAACGTTGATTTAAGATTGTATTTATACCATCGGAGTTATTATTAACTATCACAATTTAAAACTAATTTATGATATAAATTCAAATGTATACTAACAAATAAAGCAAAACCTAATTGTTTTCAATTAAGAATAATTATTTTGTTTGACATTAAAGTGTGGCTAGGGTCAAAAATGTCCGAAATTCGATTGCAAACAGCCAAAAGAACAGACGAACGAGTACATTTAATGAACGAAATAATTTCTGGTTTACAAGTGATAAAAATGTACACTTGGGAACCATTTTTTAATAACCTTACAAAATATGCCAGAAAGTAAGACATAATTATGAGTGCCCACATAAAATAAAAATAGATATCTAATAAATATAGACAAATTTTAATACAAATAACTTTAATCGTTTATTATAGGAAGGAAATGAACAAAATTATAGAATTGACTTATATCAAAGGAATTTTGTCATCGTTTTTCGTATTTAACACGAGAATCTCATTATTTGTGAATTTATTTGCATACATATTATTTGGAAACAATATAACCGCCTCAAAAGTAATACTCAAGTTGTAATAGTATAATATTGTACTTTGAAGTTCTAAATAAAATATATTTTATAATTTTATATCGGGTTTACACCTATAGGTATTTATAATCACGTCGTATTATAACATTTTACGAGGAACATTGACTGTAGCCTTTCCACCGGGTATTGGTCTAACTGCTGAATTACTAGTGTCAATAAAACGAATTGAGGTGTATATGGATTTATTTGTAAATAATACTATTTTTCCTCAGTTTACTAAAAAAACAGAATATTTTTTTAGGATTTCCTTTTATACGAAGAAAATGATAAACAAGTGACAAACCAAATAAAACCAACAGATGTCTGTAGAAAAACAATAAACGACGGTACAGTGTCGAATAATATAAATAATAAGAACGACTTTGCAGAACAATCAAGTAATTTGGGAATA